CTAGTGTGAGTGTTACTCCTGAAAACCATTAATCTTAGGTTTCAGAAGAACCACCGAGGACATGGTGTTTATAAAAGAAAACAAGTCAGACCAAACTTTTATTTTAAGAACCTTATAGAGCCAGCAAAGCGAGAGGAACTATGTCTAACCCCATCACACTTACCGAGGGATTCTGGAGAGAAGCTGAGCCTTGCTTCATGTTTACCTACTTAGTTACAACCTTCTACGACCATCAAAGTTCTGTCTGCTTAGGATGGTGCTATTAGTCACCAAAAGATTTAGCCATGTTGATACTCTGGCCAAAGGAAAAAACATTCTTAGTAGTAGCATTTCTTACTAGGCCCCTCCACACTGAACACTTTGCTCTATATTTCACTGGTATCCACCACTCTTCGAGCTGAAGCCATTTCAGAAGTTGACTCCATACTACAAGCTTTCCTCTGTATCCCCCCCCTCCTGGGGGGGAGGGAGGATACAGAGTTTGCCAGGCTTTCCTAAGCACTTTGGAGCCAGTGAAAAATCACTTTACTCCTTGGTCAGTGCTTTCATCCACCCTGAGTCTGCAATACATCACCCCTGCTTTTGTTTTTTCCACACACAAAAACCTGCTGTGCAGCCCTCCGTCATCCTTCTACCTGCTCTGTGCATTTATAACCAGTATCACCTCCTCACCACCACTACTGTCACCCGGACTCCACCCCAATTCTGCTCCAGCTCTCCACAGCAAACAGAAAGCTCTGCTTACCCTTGGATGAGAGCAAAGAGTAGCAGCACCCATACCATTGTTCTGAGAGGAGATACTGCATCCAGGAATAAAAGTCTCCCTCGGTGGATTTGGAGGACTCATCCATCTCCCACTTCTCCTTCGATCTACACACTTTCCTGCACCCTCTTCTCCTTCACTGTCGATGGATCCTTCCCTTTCTTTATTCTGAGATTTGAAGTGGTGCTGGTGACCACGATCCCTGCTCACTTGCTACCAAATCCCACTGATAGGATTATCCATTGCTCTTCCTACCAAATGAGTGTGTGCGCGCATAAAAATCAGACCTAAACAAACCCCACTGGAAACACAAGCATTAGTGTTAATAATAAAAGCATCCTCTCAGGCAGCACCTTCCATATTTAAGGAAACAACATAACTGGGGAGGGTGCACATATGAACACTGCTGGATTTTTTTAAAAAAAAACAGAGGGAGAATTGAGACTGCTCAGAAAACAAGTGGGGGACAGTAAAAGGGATGGTGCTATGTGCACCGGAGTTCAGGGAATGAAGCAAACTCCACAGACTCTAATAAAAATGATCTGGATCCATTTTTCTTGGAAACATCGGGGCAAAGGGGGTCTGAGAAAACACAGAGAAAAGTTGGCTTGAACTTGGCACAGCAACAATAGGAACATGATGTATGTTCAGGTGGTGGTGGGGGGAACAATGTATTTAAGAGGCCAAGCTGGAGCAATAAGTTTATGCGGAAATACCCACTGAAAGGCCCTCAGTTTAGACTGCTCAGTTTAGACAGTTTGGATTTGGATGCTCCCCCTCAAAGCTCCAGTTCAAAGAGGCAAACAGTATTGCTTCTCCCCACTTTGCGACCTTCCCTTGCTTTCTTTATCTGAAAATATCCCCAGGACCCTAGACCTTCCTCCTGTTCTCCTTTACCCAATCAGCAGAGACTTCCATTAGATCTGAATATTCTGAAATATTCCTTTTAAACAACATATCCTGGGCCACAAAGGCGATTACAAAAGTTTGCATTAGATGAGACCTGACAGTCTATGTATATTTTGGGTTGGACTGAATTCCAGTTCATAAGGAAGAGATTATACGCGGCCCTGAAATATGCTCCACGCTAACAAAGTACTAGGATTGTCTGCCAAAGTAAATCTTTTTCACAGCAAACCTGACACATGATTATCAGGTATTTTCACTTTTGTTTTAACAGCAACTATCTTACTAATCTTCTGGAGGCTGCCATTTTTGTCCTTCTGGTGGCTGGGTTTTCAAACAGGGGGGGGAAAGGGGGGCAATAATATCTTGTACTTCTATAAATGTTTGCTTGTTTTCCCTGCACTTACATTTCAAACCCTAACATAAACCAGACACTACATATTCCACAATTTCTTTCACTATGTCACAGTATGAGCCCTTGCACTACAGAAATGTCTGTGTCGTCATTAACATTTACGCCCAGTCTAGGGTCAAGTAACGGCGATGATCAGAATGGTCTACAATGTGTTTGTGTGGTATGAGACTTTGAGTGGGAGATCCTGCAAGGAGATTCTGGGTGAGAGGAAGGCCATCCTGTACTGAGTGGGAGAATTTTCAGAACTGGCGATGGTGGCTTGTGAATCTCCGAGAAATTAAAATACAGCTGAGACAGCAGGGAAGCTGGACAGAGTCTAAATCTTAAGAAAAAGATTCTGCAAATTAGGAATGGGGAGGCTCACTATTTTCCTGTCATCTTCAGAAATGTTTTTGGGGGAAATAAAAATTATTCATATTTTGTACTCCGGGCAAAGAAAGATTAGATCTGCCTGATGTTTTGATATTTTAATGCAGTTTTTAATATACGGAACAGAAGTGCACATCGTTTCATCATCACTGAAAATTATATCCAGCTGATGTAGCGTAACAGCAAAGGGTGCTAGCTATAAGCCAGAAAATCCCCTCTCCAAAGCTCCTCTCAGCCACGAACTCACTAGGTGGCTTTAGACAATTAACATATCACAAAATGAAGATAATACAACCAACCTCTCTTAGGATTGTTGAGGGGTATTGAAACAGCACTTCAACATTCTAAAGCACAATAAATGCTGCTATTATATTACTACTAATCTATTTCTGTTTTGTATACATATTGTATTATACCTTTTGCTATTTTAGTAAAGTTGTATTAATGCCCATGTTCTCATCAAAGCTCAACTGAAAAGAAATTGTACAACAAAAACATCTTGTATTCTTCCTTTTCTCAGTTTAAAAATGTTAGTAATTTTTTTCATAATTGCTGAGATTCTTAAGATTCCCTGGCTACATATTTTATTAGTCTAAGTATGGTAAAAACTGCGATCTTCTCTCTTAATAAAGCTTTTCTTACCAAGGTCTTCCTATTTTGCAGAACTAACATGATTCCAAGAGACAAAACCAATGTCCAGCATAAATCAGCCATGAAACCAAAAGCCTTCAGCAGATGAGCAGGTATGAGGCTTTAGGTCTGAATCACAATTGCAACATAAATCAGAGTAATTGGACAGTTCTGATGCACTGGGACAACCCTGTCTTTCACACACAAAAAATTATTTAGGGTTCTTGTAATAAGTTCCCCAAAGGGGAAGGACAGGAGGGGAATAAATGGGGATGAGACACAAATCTAGCCAGTCATTTATCTGTGTTAGTTTGCTGGTGTGTAAAAAGACCATCGCAGTGTTGGCTTCTGCTTGGCAAGGCATGGTCACCGCTCAATTTCTGTCTCTAGGATCCCCTCCCCAAAGGAAGTATGCACTACTGTTCCTCACCATCACTGGGTCTTTGTGACACAATTCAAAGCACAATTTAAATGGAAGTTTGAGAAAATATACCTTTACTTTTTCCATAGGTGTGGGAAGAGGGCTTGGGGAGAAAGTTGTGATGGCTGTATGGTGTAGGGAGCTTTACATGAAGAGAGAACAGGTAACAGAAGCTTGACAGGGTTGAAGAGGAATAATGAAATCACAGCCATCCTATTAGACAAAAGGGACTAAAATTAAGGGATCTCCTGTGGAGAATGGAGACAGAAGAGTAGAAGCTACTGCAGGGGAGATTGATTTGGGGGGGAAAGAGAGGACTAAAGCAGGGATGTGAAACAAAATAACATATTTTTGGAATTCCAGTTTTTAAATGTGTTTTACATTGCTCTTAGAATTTGGTTATAAGTACCAGCACACTTTGCCCGAACAATAAACAATAAAATGGCGTGTAAATATCATATAGCTTGTTGCTGGTGTAGAGGCGCAACTACAGTGGTTTCCCAGAAGGCTACAACACAGCCCATCAGGGAACAGACCAGTGTTAGAGATTCACTCAGAAATCAGTGCTGGTGCAGTGCAGAAGTACAAGGCATTGACAGAACATACAGAGACCCCAAATCCCCCATCCGACACTTGTTGGATCTTGTTTTATCCCTTTAGGAAGGGAAGAATTCAAAATAAACTGTATCTGTGGACATTATGTACTCAAGCACTGTATAATATTTGTTTAGGGAGTGTACATTCTATGTCAGCAGTCAACAGGAGAACTGTGTGAGCTAACTACAGCTCCATACCTCAGATATCTGTATATACTGGGGCCGATACAGCAGTAAAAGCTATCAACTGGAATGTTCTCTGATTCTGAATTACACCAGATTATACCATTTTAAACCAGGTTTCTGCGGATAAACTGAGAATTAAAATTCCCCAGAGTAAAGCTACTCAGTTCTTGTACAAGCAGGACAATAGCCAGTCTGTACTTGATCCTACAAAATACCATATATTACATACGAATGCTACCTTCTCATTTCAAAGCCAACCTTTTTCATGAATTTCCATCCCTAAAGAACTGAAGACTATGTAACTGCAGCTGCTCACATTGCCTCTTCTGCCTTTCTCCTCACTTCAATAAACACAAATTTTAAGTAAAACAAGAGGGTGTGGGCAGGGATATTCTGTATAAACTGGAGATTTAAGCTTACCAGTCCTACGAGTTAAACAAGGCCAGCCATGGACGCAAACAGCTGCCTTGAGGCAGCAAAGTCTTTTTAGTGTAGCAACTCCAAGGTTGAGCAAACCAGCCTTCCAGTGAATGGCAACGGGCCACATAGGATTATTCTCACTGGTGCATGAGAGAATACTATTTGTGAGTCATAACAATATACACGGGGAACCACATCAAGTCAGTGAGGGCTAAAAGAAGGCAGAGCAAGGCGTTAACAGCTTCCTATAGACAGTAACTGGATTCTACAATATTTCACAAACTGGACACCTACCACACATTTGGGTTTGCTGATTGCCACCAAGCTGGCCAGAAAATCCTCATCATACAGCTGGCTAAAAACATGGGAGTCGTAGGCCACCACAATGGAAATTTCTTCCATCATTTTGTCAGCAGACACTCTGTTAGCAGGGGCCAGCGACAGGCTCAGTATCCAATGGCAGAGAATTCGCTCAGCTCTGTGCCGGTTGCTCACACCCACCTGAAGAGACTAAGTGGGTGGAGTGTCAAAGAAGGAACGGAGGGGGGGAAACCACACCCATTCACAGCAGCCAACCAGATCAGCTTCAGTGTGCTTTTTCCTCTGGGAGTCTCTTTGATCTTTGCAGTAGAAGTCCAGTTTAAACACCTGATCATATGTTCAGAAAATATTAAAAAACCCATTCTTTATGGTAGCCATCAATGTAAAAGTCTTTTACCAATATGAATGTTTTTTTTTTAAAAAACCCAGTGAAGTAACTATTTGAAGATTTCAGTTGGCAATGGAGATTCTTCTTGTATTTCCCACAGTACACCACATTCTTTTAAATGCTGCATTTCACGACAAGTAAAAAAGTATTTTCAGTGGAGGAATCTTAATTTCTTACAAAGACCTGCTTTAGGGATTTCCACAGGAGGAACAAAAAAAAATCTGCCATCCTTGAAATGTTTCAGAGGATCTTATCAGACACCCAGGGAAAAATGCTGCTTCTCTGGCAGTTTTGCTCTTCCAGGGAGCTTCTTTCTTTTCTCTTGTAATTACACAGACATAGAACAGAAATCTAGTGGCTCCATCAGTCTTTGCAATTGCTGTCTCTAAACCATCTCACATAGCTGTAAGATTACAATGACTAGTTTTCTTCATTCGTCCAAAATGCAGAATCACACCTCAGGATGAAGTCTTATCCAAATAATGTTCACTTAAAATGAAACAGAAGAGCAGGAATCCAAACTATCATTTGCAGGTGTGTGAATCCTCCTTTAGTTTTCAAAATGCAAGTGGAACCTGGTAATTTCAGACTAGTTAGATGCCATCTATGTCACAGTACCCTTATCAATAGTAAGAGCTGTGCAAAAAATGGCAGAAAGTCTGGGGGAAAACCCCTATTTTGACCTATAGTTTTATGAACACTTGCAAAACTATGTACAAATCCGTGCCCCGCCCTCAAAGTCACCATAAAGTATAAATCCACCTTCACACTGAAAAGCAATCTTCTTGGATTAACAAAGAACAAAACAAAAATCCAAATTCATGTTCTCATTTTATATACATTACACATTTTGCCTTTTTCTATAACATTTTGTTTCAGCAACAGAAGATCCAAGATGTATAAAATGACAAAAACATGCATTTTATCATATATGAGGGTACATTTTAGACGCTGCAAAAAAATCTGGCATCTCTTAATACAAGCTGTTGTTCATACATTGTCACATGTTTTCTTTTTTCTCCAGAATAAAATACAGTATCATCAACTTGCCTCTTCTCTTTGCCCTATGTTCTTTGTGTGTGTCTCATTCTCTAGAAGATTACACGTATATTTTCAACAATAACAGGTCCGTTGAAGAGAGAAGTTGGTCACAGCCACAGCATGTAAGATGAAAAAAAAGTCCACTTCCATAAGGGAGGGGTAAAATGACATATTGCTAGGAAACAGCAGAGAATTTTAATAGGCTTAAGGCAGGCAAAAATGCAAAGCTTGAAGAAGTCCTTGTGATTGCAACAGCTTTTGAACAAATAGGCAGGTTAAACATAACCCCCAAAGTATGAAGAAAAATCAATTTGATTTGAAACTTGCACGAATGCAGTTTTGTGCTACTAAGGCTAGGCTATAACCTTACTTGTTTTCCCAGCAGAGGTAGCTCAGCTCTAAAGAGTAAACATAGCAAGCCATTCTTCTTGGACGTCAGTGGATGCAATTCCTACCTCATATTGTAAAGCCTTCTCTCTATTTTTTCTATAAACTTTATCAGATCCTGGGAACCTCTTCAACAAACACTTCCCCCTCCAGTCTGGCTTCGACTTCCTTGTAAAAAAAACGGCTGCTATGAGTGAAAGCGGTTCTTCCTGCCTTTGCAGCTTTCTCTCTCAGTGTGACTCAGCATGGGCAGGAGATAATGCACTTGTGTGAGGTGAACAGACAAAGACACCTGTTGTAGGAGGAGGTAAGGAATGGGACTTCCCATGATCCCACACTCCCTGCCAGGCTGTGCTGCCAGGGAGGGATAAGATTACATTTAAGCAGCAGTACATGTGCTGCAGCAACCTTCAGGCCTCTGTTTCGATTAAAAGCATACTTCAGTCTGGGACAGAGGCAAAGAATAGAGGTAAGGAATGCCAGAATCCCCCTCCCCCAATTAAAAAAAGGCTGCCAGCATCCAAGTCTTGTGAATCATACCTTAATCAGGAGTCAGGGTTTAGCATAATCTTCCTTCCAATGACCCTATGCTAGTTGAACTTAAATAGACTTTTGTGAATTTAAAGCTGACACCATTTGCCCAAGTGTTTTTAACCAGTGACTGTGTTTGCTAATACAAAAAAACCAGAATGCAGAATGCTAATGCAGAAAACCACCGTATTTTTGCTTCTCTCCACTTCAAAGTTCAGACAACAATCCTAAGAAAGTCTACTCAGAATACTGCTCAGGTTTACACAGGAGGGCTTACTCCTAGAAAAATGCATTGCTAATCACCAATCTATATACCCCCCCCCCCCAGCCAGCTAACTATGCTGCGACCTCCTAGGAGAGAAGGCAGGAGGTAGGAATAACTACATCCTTGATTATCTTGGAGAGGTGGGTCCCAGAAATTTCTTGTCCCAATTCTATCAACAGCAATATTCTACAACTCTGGGCAGGGAGGCTACATGCTCTTTGTAAAAGGTGCATTCCAGGGAAGTTTTATCTTTTCTGACCATATGCAGACTCCGTTCTTAACATTTCAGACATTTCTCTGTGCAATAACTTACTGAATACATAAGATTCAGGTAGGTAGCCGTGTTGGTCTGAAGCAACAGAACAAAGTTTGAACCCAGTGGCACTTTTAAGACCAACAAGGTTTAATTCTGGATATAAGCTTTCATGAGCATGCACACTTCTTCAGATGCACAGGAAAGCTTATACTCAGAATTAAAGTTTGTCGGTCTTAAAGGTGCCACTGGACTCAAACTTTGTTTTGTTACTGAATACATGATGACTATTTATTTAAACATTCATATGCTGCCTTTCCACCCAATTCAGGGTCCCCAAGGTGGTGAACATTAACACTAAAACATTTCAAACATTAAAAAGCATTTAAAATACACACACACACACACACACACACACACACACACAACATTTAAAATAAACAAACTATCTAGACACTCAAACAGGGAGGATGGTTACTCTGAGGGCTGTCATTCCACTCCCAGAACATTTCTGTTGCTCCCAGGGGTTGTCATTCCACTTGTCAAACACATCTGCTACACACACGGACTGTCAGTCCCAGAGCAGTCAGTCTGGGCCCGGAGATCCTAACTGAAAATCCATTCCACATTTTCACTGCTGCTTTTGTGTGTTGTAATGTATCTCAGTGGAGCCCATGCAAGTCAATTGGCATCCCTGGCTCCCATTATATCCAATGGACATTTCAGCATCTCCCACTGTTCCCAATGGGCAATCCTGTCATTCATTTTAGTACACCCTTCCTTGTTAAATCCAGCTTTCTTTACATTGGTTGTGTTAGGCTTACAAAATTGCTGCATGGTTCTTCTGGGATCCCCTGGTTCTGCACTGGTTCAGTTGGGCTTGGTGGTTCTGCTTGCATTGGGAGGCTTTGGGGCAGTGGTTGCTTGCTTGCTCTTGTGTCTTTGGCTTTTCTTTGCCCTGAAGACCCCCCTCCCCTTAGGAAACACGATGGCTGGGGTGGGGGCACCTTATTCAAGGACCATAGGTCCAGATACACTCATAGGTCCAATTCACTTGAAATTTGGCGGGAATTGAAAGGACAGGCACCAGCAGCTCCTTGGAAATTTTGGTGCCAACTGCTTAAAAACAGCCCCCCTCCAGCCCCCTGGAAAGATCTCCCATAAGGAATAATGAAACCAAATAATATTGGAAATCACCACAAAAAAAACAGAACTGAATACCAAACCAGTATTTGGTAACTGAATAACCAGGAATACCAATATTTTTCAGCTCCCTGATATCCAGATCCAAAAAATACCAATATTTTTTGTGGTGCACATCCCTACCTCCAGGCACTGTTCATGGTTTCCACAGCTTTACTGAGATCTGCTGGAAGCACAAGATAGAACTGCGTTATCATCCGCATATTGGTGGCGACTCAGCCCCAGTAATCACTTCTGAGTCGCCTTTAAACTAAACACTGCTCCTGCCTTACATTAGCATACCACAGTGATACTACATTAGTAGCCCAAGTTCATGGTATTTTTCCTTGACTCTGAACTTTTATCTATGATCTCAAACATCTGGACTTAACCAGATTTTTTTTAAAGTCCTAAAATAACCACTCATTCTCAGCTTGACAGGATGTCACTATCTATATTCAGTCAAGTTGGGATGTGGGTTTTCAGCCAACAAGATTCTTGGGTTAGGGCAAAGGTAGAACTTCAGAGAGAACCATACAAGCTCCATTAATCTGCAGTTTTCACACCAATGGCTTTGTAGCTGTGTCGGAAACAACAAGTCTTCATTACATTGAGAAGGGATTGTAAAAAATATATATATTACTACGACCTATCAAACAGAAGCCTATGTAAAAGTCTCTTTAAATGCTACCAAATAACAGATCAGGTATAAAGTAAGAAGTAAATTTCATATAGACTTCATGGCGCCAATGTGTCCACATTCCATAGATTGGTGGGAAAAATAAAATGGTACCTAGAGTCGGATTCGACTGGCTTTCAAGCAAGGGAACCTTTACCTTTTTTATATGGGCCATTAAGACAAGGCACATACAATTCCAAGCCATCAAGACAGTATTCATTGCCCACAATGCAAACATTTGTTCTGTGCATTCTATCAGGGTTTCAGCTCAAACCAGTTTTGCCAGTTTCCATAGCACTTCAAACTCAACCATGGAAAAGGCAAAAACAGCCCCAGAACCATACAATAAGCATACAGTAGACTTGTGTCCATAGCTTTCTGTCTCAACACCTCTTAGATAGTATTCATGACAAGTAGGCACAGGAGGAATGCTGCCGGCATTATATTAAAGGTGTTTTAAGATTACATTATTGTTTTTGCAAGTAAAAGGAGGTATCTACATTCATATGTGATCTTGCAGCTCTTCAGTAGACAAACAAAAAGAAAGTATAGAATATCAATCTCAAAAGTCAAATGCCTTCCAGGACAATAAAAAATAGTTTTGCATCTTCTCCTGAAAGACATGAGATGGGAACAACTATGCACCTCATCTGAGCGGCCAATACAAAGCCCTCCTAGATGAG